TAACGCATGAGTTGCATCGACTCGCACCAACGTTGGAATTGCCGAATTCGAACCATAGCGCCTCTTATCATAAGTGAATTTCCTTGGATTCTCCGAGGCTCCATAAGCCAAACCCTCTTCATCCAACAGCCGAGGTTTGCTCCAGTGTTGTGCACATCTATTTCTAGTCACGTGCTACCCATAAGTACTAGTTGATGACGCTTTTCGAAAAGCTCTCCAACACCTATAACGCTCCGTGGGCAGGTAACTACCCCTGGTATCTGTCCACAGGAACTGTGCTCCTACCTCCTTTCTCCTCGCGAGTGGTATGTAAGGAGTAGACACTTACGTGAGCTAGGACTTAAACTTATCCCCAGCACCCGAACTGTATCGGCCATCTAGATTTCGCAACGCAAACCTGTAGCATCGGCTCGCAGTACTTGATAGTTCGCATGCTATTTGTTTTGCTATTAACCGAAGGTGCTCTGATCACGTCTGCATAAAGCACCACTGAATACTAAATAAACATGTTCGCTGGCAACAAGAGGAGAGTAGTAAGCAATGCCACCTACTAAATTGTGTGACTTGGAAAAAACAAGGTCAAAATAGTGGGCGTCTGCGTACCTAGTGGGAGGTTCACAAACTAGTATGGTGGAATTTGGATTGAAATGTTAATATCTGCTCCTTAAGTTCCACTCTGAGTTGCCTTTGAAAGACTGAAGTCGCCAAGCATCAACCGCTTGTTTGCAGTCTGAAAGCGGATAAAATCGAGCACCTCCTTTGATGTACTGCCAGGGTTTCTATAGACAAATACAGCTTTAAATTGAGCAAAAGAATTGCTAATAACAGCCGATAAAGCTACGACAATTTTGCCCAGTGACGGAAACGAGCTGATCCTCGAAACATCACGTAAATAATGACGCCCTCGTCTTCTCGAGCAACGAAACGATCAAACGAAAACGGTACGTAGCCAGGTTAATGAGCTCCACCGCCCGTAATATCCTGAGACAACCAGGTTTCAGTGAATGCGAGTATGTCAGAATAAGACTCGTCTACAGGTACACCTAACTGATCTATTTTAGTGCTTAGACTATGCAAGTTATTAGGCCTTATCTATAGGAATTGTATATGGTCAGAACGGAAATGGATCTTCGGCGGATCAGCTGAGAATCCACTAACCGGAGATCTTATTCTCCGGCAGCTCGCCTGTTTATGATATCCGTTATGGCTTCATTTAATTCCAGCCTATTCACAAGCTGAAGATCTGACTGTACACTGATATTACTACCCTTGAGTTTAGAAGCAAAACTCAGTAGCACTTTGCGTCCCTCTGGTGTAAAGATGACTACGCGCAGTGGGCGAGGTGGAAGATTTGGCACGCCACCCAGTATGGTATCCAGTCTCTTCAACTTCCTAACATTAACGTCGGGAATGCCCAGTGGAAGCAGCTTCGTCGCACATATCATAAACCACTGGAACTCATTCATCATGTGCTCACTACGAAGGACGACTGTGGTTTCCACCTCATTACGGAAGATAACACTGCTATCCATGTAACAACCGCGGCAACGGGGTGTGTTTAACCCGCGGATCTTTGGTTCCATACTAACACCATTTGGCCTAGCCGCCGGTCCTAAGAATACCTGCTTCTTCTCAGGAGCAGCGGAAGCAACTGTGGGCAGGTTTTTCGCTATTTATAGCCCCTTTTCACTTTTTGCACCTGGTAGCTTGACAGATGGTTTATGGGCAGTTCTGGTGCTCTTCTTCTTCTGAGTAACGGACGCAGGAGATAGTGTCTCAGCGTCTGGTGAAGGCGAATCCAGTACGTCATCCGAAACCAGCCAGTCGATGCCGGCTACCATCGAGGACACCTCCGACTGGCAAGAAGGTGTGTATAAGAGAGTTGTGGTCTCACAGCCATTAATCAACTTGTTGAATGATGGTGGCGTTTCCTGTTCTTTTTTCTCCGGTTTTGTGACACTTAGTTACGCAGAGGGCAATTTCTTGACCCCTTTTCGCTTCTTTTCAGCGGGCTCGTAAAACAGTCACTCAACATCGCTATGGGCATAGTCATATAAGCTACCCACATCAGATTATCAACGTGGCGCGCTGCAACAGGGACACCTGACACGATGGGCAGTGTTACACGTTGGTTTTTAGTCTGGTATTTCGCAATCTTCAAGAGCATCATCGCTAGGGACTACAAGCGCCTTCATAATCAAATCCGTCTTGGGATCATTGGTTGGCGACCACAATGACTACCAGTACCGCAATTTGCAGTCTGGCTATTTCCGCCTAATGGGGGAAATTGTGTATCTGACCCCGCAGACACCAACTGATCAAATTGGGAGAGTGAACGAATCATGTGAACAGTGGGTTACAAAATAATTTCGTGGTGAAGTCTCGCTACTTTAAATGTGACTTAAGGTGTGACACGCCTTAGGAAGCTCTGGAGCTCAAAATAGTTCAATCTGTTGTACTATCATCTGCGATGTACACACCCCCATAGGTATATGCTCAAAGTGAGCAGTGCGATAATCTCAAAATTATTTCAACATTCTAGCAAAGTTGTTGGCAAGTTCATTGAATACGTTTACCTAAGTGCACGTGTCTGTTTAGATAAAGCTACCTTTCTTTCAAAGAGCTCTCAGCCATATGATATACACTGGTCACCAATTTCTCTCCCCCCCCCCACCCTCCCGAACATCAGAGCGCGATAATTTCACCTCCGTTCGAAAGCCCATGAGTACGATTCTACTGGTGACAACCATACCCAGTCATGGGTACACTCCGAAAACATTTACTCACGCAATATATAATACCAGTTCAACATCTTTAAATGTGCTTGGAATCGAACAGTAATTCATGATTTTAGATGGGCTTGAAAAGAACCGGTTGGTATAGTTGGAGCGTATTGTTTCACCTTTGATATAAAATCTTCATCAGGCTAGCGGAATCAACGAGTGACTGGTGTAGCGTTTGTGACGACAAGGACGATAATCGCGACGATCAAGAGTAAAGTAGGTGGGTAATCATGTTACAGGAGGTACATTAAGAATGGTAAGATTTTAAGCGGTTCACTGTACGACCTCGTCATAAGTACGTCCTTGCAGTGATGCGGGTAGATGAGTTAAGACGGCTCGGAATCATGGATTAAACTAATTGATATTTAGCGGATACCATAATACTGGCGAACCTCCAGTTGCATAAGTTTCTAAATCCACGTCCGCAGTGTACCACGAAATGGATTGTGACAGCAGGCTTATGATAATGAGGGAACTTTTAGGGTCATCTCGTTGGTATTAAACATAGAATAGTAAGGAGTTTCCAGTAAGGCCCGATTGACCCTGGGGCATTTGAAGAACTCACGTCCCCTCGGATAGAACAAACAAGTGCGTCTACAAAAGTAGCTGCAAGGAATGTGCGCACGTGTATATAGGCCAAACTGCTAGAGAACTGCGCAAGAGGATAGCAGAACACAAGATTCACAAGTCACGGCCACCGAGAAACGCGCTGGAATAAAGGGCTTCACTAAGAAATTCTATGGTAGCGATGCACGCGCTAGATGCAGGTCATGAAATCGACTTGGATAATGTCTAGATCATTAGGACGGGATTGCGGGTCAGCACAGTAGCGACTGACGGCTGAGGTACTGGGAATCGCCAACGCTAACATCTGCGTAAATGGAACTGATGGGAGGAGTTATCGAATGTGTGGCGGGCTCACTTGACCTTGCCAGTCTAAGTAGTGTCGGCAGAAGAACCCGGAGTAGAGTGCCAACGTCAAACCACTCCCACCCCCACCCATCGCTGGCAGGGACTTACGTGTGGTGATAACGTACAACGAACCATCCCTAATATGTCACTCAAAATGGCACTTTGACCTGTAACGTGACTACCCTCCTACTTGCCTCTCGGTTGTGGCGATTATCGTCTCAGTTTGTGGTAAATGCTGCGCCAATTATCCAGTGGCTGAGTTGCTCTTACGGAGCTTTCGTGGTAAATCGAAACGTGGTCCTCCAACTATGAGGTTAGTTGTTCGTAGAGATAATCCCTTTAGATAGATCGTACCAGGTGTGAGAAGCTATCAAGTTATCTCTAATTGGAACTCGCAGTGGTGGGTCACGTTCATCCAAAGCGGTAGTGAACACCGGAAATCAGTCGGACTGACTTACAAATGATCGGAGCTTACACTTGCGGTCACAAACCAGTAAGCAGGAAATCAATTGTTTTGATTTGCGATAACTAATCCAAACAGCCATCGATTATCCATTGCGTCGGAATGGCCTCCAGGGCCCTCTTTTGCATTGAGTGGATATGATTCCTCGAATCTACATTAAGATGGAACAAGAAGATAAATCCAGCTTATCTTATGGTCCATGACCGTTGACATCTGAAGAGGTTTATTGAAAAGATTTTACTGATAATTTAATTTACAATTTGCGGAATAAAATGCGCACATTGGTTTTCATCATGTAAATGACCAATTAATTTCCCCTCAACCGCTTACCTCTATTAAACGGGCGAATTGTCTCCTACTTCACATTCACCGTTTCTCCGAGAAATAACACCGAATATTGTTTGTTCTCGCAACACGCAGAGTACAGTCTACCTTTTAACACGGGATGTTAGCTGAAGCCCCTTTAAACACTCCAATTTTAATCACTAACCATTCGTCATACCTTATGATCAATTTAGGGATTACCACCTCCGTTTGCCTTCTACTTATCATCGCCTAGGTTTTAAAGGTGAGTCAGCTGTTACTGTCACGTGTCCGCGTTTTGTTCGACGGACTTGCACAATCAGTCACTCACCTACCTGTTAACCGTCATCCTTCGCTCACCTGGTTTTGGCTTTCAATTGCATGCTCAACCGTTCATGTCGTTTGAGTTGCTTTGGTTTGTTTTCTGTGGTTGTCGTTGTGGTTGTATTCACTCACTCGTTGTCTTCCTTCCACCCACTTATGCCAAATCGTCGTCATCACTCCCACATCCTGCGCGTGATCGGTTGTCCGTGGCCCAGTCGATCAACCTTGGAAGAGACGACACGATTTCAAGCTATCTTCGGCCGAACGCAGTGAACATTGGCTTCAGCGTCCACCTTTGAATAGGTCCTGCCCGGAGTATCTGGCAAGTGACTCAGCGGAAACCATATCGCGTCCACTTTACGTGCGATCATCACCACTGAGGTCTACGAAAGATGATGCTGGCGTGACGACATCTCAACCCCTTACCCGGGAACGGAAATTGGCGGACAAGCTACAGGATTCATATGACACTTCGATTCAAAGTCCGGAAACTGAGAGGCAGGAAGAGCACCGATTCAAAGCAGAAGAGCAAACGTTTATGCATCTGACACATTTCGATAGCATTGTGAAGTACCCCTCATGGCAAGGGCATAGGGACCACCATGTTAGGCAAGACACTGAGACACCTGAACTTCGGCCTTTCTACCGCCGCGGAAAAGCTTCATCCGTTCCAGTGGATACATTTTTTGCACCTGAGCCGTACAAAATCAGACATCGGGATGTAGAGGCCTCTCATGTCAAGGAAATGCCCGAGGTACCATCGGTAGGCATAACTGAACACTTGAGTATATCAAGTGAGCGGGTACAGAGGTCAGTTAGTGTCAACGACACCGAAAAAGTTCGAAAGCCTCGTGTCATGCGAAGAAAATCCGATTTAGACCAATACATTGAAGAACAGATCGATAGAGTGTACAGGGAAGAGTTAGCCAGGCGTGAGAGCCAGACCTTATTCCAAAAAGCAAAAGGAATAGAAGGGGAAAGTTCGTCTGATCTAAGCGTACTTGCTTCTCGTGAAGAACGTCGTAGACCTTTAGACAATGAGATGCAAAAACGAGTTTCTAAAAAGCTATCTAAAGAAGCTTCTGATGAGGGAAAACAACCGGAGCATGACCGGTTAACAGCACCCAGAGGCCCTATGTCCATGGAGAACCAACGATGGCCACCTGCAGTACCTGTAAGAAGAGAATCGCTTTGGAAGGTATCACCCAAGAGAAGCAAGGAGGACACCGAATTCCGGAGTCAAGTGGACGAGTTCCAGACTCCTTTCAAGAAGCCTGAAGCCCCGGAAAAGATTTCAGAGTCTCCAGGTGTAGCAGCCACCATTGGGGTGCATCACACGCCTAGGAGGATACCAGAGAAAACATCCGAACTGGGCTCAGTTGTAGGACAGGCGACCGACCATCCTAAGGAGCAAACACCAAGACAGGAACAACAGGATGTACGAACTGGGGAAGTTCGTGATGCACGGGAAAGTTCTTACAAAACTATGCAGGACCGACAAAAGCAGCCGGATAGACAAAAGTATAGTGTCGGCAAACATCCTTCGCATGAGTATGATAACAAGAAACACCGACAACCCCAATCCGCGGATCAAACTAATTTGGAAAGTCCATCAAAGGACACCTTTAGATTAGAGAGAGAGAAATCCATGGAAGACACTTTGGTGAAAGTGCCTCGGCCAACTGCGGATGAAGAAGAAAAGCGACCTGAATCTGCTACCGGAGATTACTCTGAAACAAAAAAATCCCGGCTTTTGTCCATCGACAAATTGAGAGAAGATCCTAGAATAACTGAGCACAAAGCAGTACCTGAAGTTGCAAAGAGAATCCATTTGCAGAGGTGGATGCCAAAACCGACTGAACGCCATTCGGTGGATGAGGAGGTCACTGTGAACCGTCCACATTTAAAGACAGCAGACCAAACTGGCTCACGGATCAGGCCACAAGAGTTAGCTGTTGAAGTACAACACCCCATCGATGGCGGGCTAGAAGACAAGGTTAGGACACCATGGGTGGGCAGAGATAGAATCAAGGCACAACCTTTACAACGGCACGTTTTGCGAGAGACGCACCTTGATCAAGATGATCGCCTATCCAGAGTGAATGTGAGAAAGCCCGATGGAAAAGCCACAGAAGGTACGACTGAGCGCTTAGAGCGTAGAAATATTGAAAAAAGGGATTCGGATCAAAAGCTAAGGGCTAAAGAAGACAAACCACTTAAAACGCCGCTAGATAAACCTCTCGGTGCCACGCACCAAGGTAGGTGGAGTTCTTATGCAGGCGAACGACCTCAGTCTCGCCACATAGAATCGCAACCAGCCTCATTTCACCAATTCCGCCAAGATCCTTTGTCCCTAGCTCCAGAACAATCAGCTGAAGAAGAAAACCACTCAGGATACCGTGCCTTGGCTGCGGCGTGTCTGCGGCCACTGCAAGAGATCGTCTGTCCGACAAAAATAGAACGTTCAGACGTTACGGGTAAGAAGGACAGCAAATCGGTAGCGAAGGATGACCGTCGGACTGATGATAGACATGGATCGCACCGGGACTCTATATCGGCAAAGGTGAGAAAAATGGGCGAGTATGATCAACGGAAAAGCATGACTTTGCCATTGGTAGGCTCGGTCGGTCACATGACCGAGACACCAATGGAACGCAAACGTGGTGCTGTGTCAAAACAATCTCATGCAGATCGAGAAAGAAAGCGAAGTTTTGACATGCCCAGGAGAGATTCAGTTTTCCATCAGGAGGGAGGAAAGAATGTACCCATCAGCCAGTTTGATCATTTTGGCCACAGGAGGCATGTCGACAACGGAAAGGATTCTGACAAGGAGCGGACTGTAAGCCGGCCTATCAGTACGGGCCCCTGCCCAAAGGACAAAGAACAGAAAAGGGTAGTCAAATTGAGAAGAGAGCCGTCATCGGATTCGTCTGCTCCTAGACGTGATCATCTTCGATCCTCAGCAAGTCAGAAGACTTCTACGGCTAAGGGCGCACCTGATGATGAACGACATCAGAGAACGAGTCCCCCGATGGATGACAGTCCACCTGGTCATGTGACTTCGCTCCAAAAGTCAAGCGACGTTCGAAAGGACAAGCACGGCGAAGGCACTTGTTCAATGTCGTCTGCGTCCCCTTATGGCCTTTCTCGACCCACGCCAGCGAAGCGGGACGGCAGTAGTCGGCGAACAACACAACAAGGTAACAACTCATTTTGTGTCCGTTGCATGTTTCTGCATGTCGGATGTTGTGTCACTATCATCCGTCCATTTCACCACGTATTCTTTGATTTATTTCGATAGTTGACTGCTCATTTACATAATATCGCTTTACGTAACACATCATCCAAACGATAAGTGGTCCCAAACCAGGACAAATTACCTAAGTCACTGCAAATTGCTTATAATCTGCTGCCGCAAACCGCCTGCGTGCCGTGCAATTTCAGTCCTCGCAAACACACCTCAGAGGTTAAACTTCGCGAGAGTAGCCAAACGCGCACTTCATGAGGTGATTTACATTCTGCTTTTCGTGTGATTTTGCCAGTATAGTAAGGTTTGTCGAATATGTATCATCGCATGCTCAGTGCGCAATCACTGTGTTTGCATTGCCTTAGTTATTTCTTTATGGTTAATGGTTGGAACAAACCGAATCACTTGTTCTTCCTTTAACACATAACACAATATTACTGCATTGTACCACCAGTTGGTGGACCTAAGGTAGCAGTAGTTCACAAGCGGCATCAAGAGAAACTTTACGACTGGGGCCTGTATTTGATTATGGTGGTTGACATATATGCGGCCAAATCTAGTTACCTTTGAACTGTTATCCTGCACACAATCGTGCATGAATGATTATCATAATTATTTACTGATCGATGTTTGATATAAGTTTCAGTCGCCGAGTGTAAGCTTAAAATTGGCAATGTTTATTCCTTAAAACAAAAGCCTAGCCTTGAACTAGTATATATATATATATATATATATATATATATATATATATATATATGATTGGCGGCATCCGGTTTCAGATTTGCCTGTCATTGTGGCTGCGCCTGCGCCTACAGAGGGACCATGGGTGGCTTACACTGCACCACCCACAGCTCCAACCACACACCCCATATTCAGTGTAAACCCGAAGGAATAAGACTAGGTGACATTTGGATGGGAGCCACGTTTTATCAACGGAGCCGGCTCACACTCCTTCACAGGCAAACACAATCAAGCTGTATTTGGGGAATCAAGCGCACACAAGGCGGTGGCTGGACTGTAGTCTGCTCCACACTGAGTGCATGAAACCACTCTTCGAGCCTAGCACGGCCACAAGGACCGTGCCTCCCATCCACCTGCCTCCCGGTCTTATTCCTTCGGGTTTACACTGGATATGGGGATATATGGAGCTGTGGGTGGTGCAGCGCAAGCCATCCACGGTCCCTCTGTAGGCGCAAGCGTCTTGTGGCTAGCTACAGTGACAGGAAAATCCGAAACCGGATGCCGCCAACCATATATATATATATATATATATATATATATATATATATATATATATATATATATATATATGGGGAGAGAGATAGGGGGTTTGTGAGATAGTCTGCACCTGTCCTACATCATGGTTGCAAGTTTAACGTGTAGCTTAGACTCTCATGTTCGGGGAAGACATTTTCTTTGTTTCCGGCGTTGTTAGCGCCGAATAGATATATTGTTATGGGAATCGTTAGCCTGCTGCTGCTACCTCACATGTCGCTTTCTCTAAACCACTTATTGTCATACTTACGCACGAGGTCTCCGTTCTATCCACGAGGTAACACAGCCGTTAGCTGTGTGAACGGGGGTCAAATCAACTAAGCTGTGCGTACATTCTGCTCGTCCAGCTGGATACATTAAGCTGACTGTCTAGAGATGATTGGTGACTACTCAAATGACTTGTAGCTGTGGATGAAGAAGGATAGTGTTGTGTAGTTCTTCCAGCTGAGTGATTTATTTGCGGAATTTTCGTCACCAGACAAGTCAGACTGGAGTAGCGGCTGCGTCGAACGTTACACTATGAATGTTGCATAGCCTAGTAACAAAACGTCTGCAAATAAACTTCCCAGCTAGGACAGCAACCTAGCAGCATCGGTCCAAAAGTGAATCATGCACAGGTCAGCCATAAAAAAGCCGCAGGCGGCCCATAAGATGACCAATGGAGCTCATCATTGTGCTCAAGGAAAACCCCACCTGGGGTTTATGTCGCCTTAGAGTGTCAACTACATGTGTGACGCTTTACGCATTTGTACTTCTGAAAATAACTTCATTGGGGTAAGAATTCGAGTTACAAAAGGAACTGTAAGAAGCGTTACCCACCGATAGACAGCTGCTTGTGCTCATACGTGTAAAGTGCTTAGGTCGATGATGAAAGAAACGATGACTTCGAGCTCCCTATCAGAAAGCAACTCAAAATATCTCACCATGAAGTGAGGTATCGAAATGGCTTTAAGTGAATTGCAACATGACCAGATAAATGTTCCTCCATCATTTTTGGACTATTATGTCCCTCAGGCTAAATATGACCATGATGAAATTCACTCAAAGCCATTGAACTCACTGGTATCACATCGTAAAATAGTACTGTGTCCAGTCAATTTTTGCCACATATTAATTGAGAGAATAAGTATACGAAGTCGTTACTTGGAGGAAGCTACCCTGTTCTCGTTGCGAGGAAAGCATTCAAGTCAGTGCAGACTGGTTCGCGCAATACCACAGCTAATCACCCAGTAGGGTAGACTGCTTGTATCCACAGGGGCCCAGAAACTTGCGAACTACTGGAACAATGTTTTAATCCGCCAACGGTTTGAGGAAACGCATATCATTATCGTCCCTAAGGGATGAGGGTTGTTGAATGCATTTCCGTGTGCTGGTGACCACGTAAGGTTTGCCGCAAAAGGTGCTAAATTGAGATTAATTTTAAACTACTTATAAATGAAACGTACTATAAGGATAACCAAGAAAAAACCGATAGGGTAGACTTGTCTGACGTACCCAAGCGGCTGGATCGACAGAAACTAACCAAACCTATCTAGCGAACTCATGTCACTGATGTAGCAGCTCCACGAAGTTAAGCACCCCTTCCCACAGTGTGTACACTTGGATTTTTAATAACGTACCAGCTAGCCTTTCGGTATGCCTAACGCGTTCACAGACCTCCAGGCTCCGAGCACGCTGCATGATCTTCCTATGGAATCGCTCCGCGGCCGTTGAGCATTGCTTGTCCGTCGGACTAACACGAGGCCAAGTATAGTACATTCTAATAAACATGAACACCGTTCAGCCCTTCAGGATGACGAAGTGTTCATGCTTGAATTAATCTCGACAGACCAGAACAGCGGAAAAGAACGCCCACCTACGCGGTCACACACGCCTTATGTGTTTCCGGTGCCAACTATGCTCACATTTGGAGATGAAGGTAGACAACAACCAGCGCAGGATTAGCGTTCAGTTAACTCAGACGGAACCACTAACATTGGGCGCCGTCAAAATTCCAACTGCTTGTATGATATCATGCTGAACTCGAGCCGGTCGCTCGATTGATAAACAAACACTCACATCCTGTGAAATGAGTGGTCACATTTATCAAAGACTAGCACAGTACACACTTGTGTGTGAACTCTTGGGGAGAGGGGACCACAACGAAACGTTCAAAAGAATTCCGTAAACGTAGAATCCGAGGCAGTGGACTGTGTAGCACGCAAACACGTGCGCACGGAATTGTCCTGAGGAGAGAGCATACGCATACGTACCCACACGCACACCCAAAGAGAAAGCATACTGTGATGTTTCTCGCCTGGGTAGCTGGAATTACCCTGTACAGTCGTCCCATCCATCAGTAGTGCGTTCCCATCTGACCCTTATGGGGCTCGAACCCGCAACTGGACTGTCGCCAGTCTGTGCTGAAACCCCTAAGCTACGGGGGACGGAAACGACGGTCATGACTGTTACTAGATGTGATATAGCGCCGCTCACTATCCAATGACCCGCACATTACCGCCGTGTAGAGGACAGAGTAGCCCCCTCACCACATGACAAACTTACCAAACTCAAGCGCATTGTTAACCGTAGCCGAAAAGATGAAACTGCCGTACACTACTTCTATGGACGTGTGATGTCTCCTTGACTGAGTTTACATGTGATGAATTCCTACCTATACCAAGAAGTGATTGTTGGTCAAAACAATGTTTCGCTAACGTCCTGATTGAACTTTGGCTGAATTAAACTAGAGATGAGGTCACTAATTCAGTCAGTGTCCACCATCAAGTATTTCAGCTGACCCACAGCGACTAAGTGTGGTACGCAGTTTTACTTATGACCTGGAATCAGTCTGAAGCAAATTTCGGTAAGACGGATCATCTGAATGCTGTTAGGCATAGCACAATCTCGTCTCCATGAGCATAATCTCAACAGCGCATTTGAAGCGCCGTTTTGTTCTCGTATAGACTCTTGAATTAGACAGGGGGAGATACGACTTGGAACATGTGACATCGAGGACTAATGGTTTAAGCTTCTATCCCTTCTCTATCTAACTACATGAATGAACCTTTTCTCAGTGGCTAGCATTCCACAGCAGAATTTTTGTGTAGAAAGAGCGTTATCCGTAGCATGCTCCTTTCCGTACTGCTCGTTTGTTAGTGTGTCACTGCAGGCAGCTGTACGCTGGCCGGAATACTATGGTAACATCTATTACCATGCGGGGTCAGAGCTTGAATCCGAAGCCGAAATCTAACCGCCCGAACCACCATACCAAGGATCCCAAGAAACATGGAACTCTTCAGGACGAAATCAAGCTAACCTACTCTGTATCATCCCAATTTTAGTAGGCGTGGGCGGCATTGACTGTCGATTTTGACGGCGAATCAAAATGATTGAAATCTCGGCCGTTCCGCTAACTGAAACCCTCTCCGAAAGGGAGACATTTTCGATGCTGCTGACCACGAATGAGTTCGTCCTCATTTGGACTCTTTAGGTGTTGGTAAGCCACCTCCGGTATCGGAATGCGCAAAGTAGCGATCGGACGCTAGTGTGTTGATCACTATGCCAATTGGTCATGCTAGAAACGCTTGCACTGTGACTCATCTTGAAACAAAACTCGAACATATCGAATGCCAGAATGGTGATATTTGCACTGTTGATGGCCACTGACATCACATTCTGCAACTGGTCCAATTCTTG